ATAATAATAATAATAATCATGTAAGAGTTTTACGGCACTTGCAACACAATAAGCCATATATAAATGCCGATGATTTGAGGTGTTATAAGAGTAACAAACAAAAACAAAACGGAGGATAGAAGGACGATAGATGTTTGATAGGAAAGAAGGGGAAATCTGCTCAAACTCGGAATGGTTCGATTAAAGAGAGAAGTTATTGGAAAGGGACATTGACAAGTAGGCATTTTTACACCCCGTCCACTCTCATTGACTCAATTGAGATATTTAAAAGACGGACTTAGACCCTGCCAGTCAGTTCCAACTTGGGCTGATACAACTTCCCAGTAGAAAGATCAAGATACTCGATAACACTCCCCTCCCCTCACGGAAATCGAACTCGGGTCTTCTGAGAGGACGGCAAAGCGCTTACCCGCTACACCACAGAAGCCTGACTGAAAGGAACTTTTAGAAGTCGGAGATTACTAAAAAGAGTTTTTTTCGTTTTTAGTAAATGTCTTATTGCATTTATTGCAACACAATTAGGTGCCGAAGATTAGAGGCGTTACAAGAGAGGAACAAACACAAAAAAGAAGAAGGAGCGGAGATAAGGACAACAGACATTTGGCAAAGGAAAGAAGAAGTAAGCCACACGAGAACACCCACCAATGCTCAAAGGGAGGAAGAGTGTCTTACCTTGAGATGCCCATTGTCGGACTGCAGCGGGGTCCGAACCTCAGACCCATCTCTATCTTTTCCGGCCGGCGGCATTCCGCCTGTCACAGTAAGTCACACGCAGTGGTAGGTTGGCTGGTGAGGGCGGTTCGATTCCCCTGAAGTAGCAGGCTGACGTTCGCTACAGGTGGGGGGAGATGAAGCGGTGGGTTTACTTGCGAATAAAGTGGTGAGAACGGTTTGGCTTCGACGTTTTACGTCCTTTTTTCCCCCTTTTTTTTGGGTTGTTGTTCCCCTTTGGGTGGCGGTGGAGGCAGCGACTATTCTTTTTGTGCTTATACAGGCAAGAACAGGGAGTCACTCAGTCACGCTGTGGAGTTTTCTGGGGACAAAAAGAAAAACAATTTTCAAGTCCAGTCGTTTCCGCCTGTTTGCTTTTTTTGCTTTTATTTTATTTTATTTTTTATTTACTATCTT